TTTTCCCTGTGGGTGCTCCAGCCCTGGAGCACCCACGGCAATTCCAATACGAAATATTTGAAAGACACCAAGTTCCCAAAGTTATTTAATTCCCTCTTAATGTGGAGTTGTAAGTAAGAATAGCAATTAGTCCACAATACATCATCAGTGGTCACTGAAGTTTCACTTAAACTAGTTTACATTATAAAGTAATATCAGAAATCCATACTTCTATTAGTTCTCAACATATAGAACTCAGCTTGTAAATGGATGTTTTTCTCAGATTTGAGTCCAGGGGTGGGGATGGGCTGGGCAGAGGGAAAGAGAGAGATTAAAAATATGCTAAGTTTGTTTTAATGTAGGTCACACCCCAAGCCGGGAGAAGAGTCTTTTCTTCTCAGGGCCTCTTCCTACATGCTCAGCCTAGACTTCCTCACGAGCCCTTTCCTGACTGTTCTGCCACTCATTCTCTCCCAGGAGGCTTTCCCCAGGTTGCCCTTATCTCCTAAGCAGGCCTGGTTCTGATTCTCTCACCCTCGGGAGGTGAGCTAACCTTGGCACAGGTGAGGCTGAGTCCTCGGCCTCCTCCACATGCTTAAAGGGCCCGGCCAGCTCACTCTGTGACACCAATTAAGCTACCAACCTTGTGGATTATGGGCTTGATTTTTCAGAGGTGCTGAGCACATGTTGCTTCCATTGACTCCAACTGGATTAATGAGTGCTCAGCACCTCAGAGGTGCTGATAAAAAAATCCTTAGGAAAAAAATACCCTCTTGGAAAAAGTGTTCAGACAGAAGCCAGATGTATAGACATTAAATCTAAGCTTTCTCCTTTTCCTGAAAACCAATAGATCTAATCAGGCTCTATGGTTTAATTGCTTAACTATGTTCACAATACTTGTATCTTCTCTGTCACTCAAACCTGTAAACTGGGAGTCATCTCTAACTCCTCTCTCCCTCTCCCCCTACACAACACATCCAGGCTGGGCCTAGCTCTTGCCACTTTTCCCTCCCCAGTGTTTCTAAGGTTTGGCTTTTCTTCACCCACACAGCTAAAACTTTTGTCCAGGCCTTCATCATCTCCCACCTTGAATTTTAAAGAGAAGAACAGGTTAACAGAATGATCTGAAAGTTCAATTAAGGTATCGATCAACACCATTAGTCTTCAATGCTATAGGTATCTAACTCACACACTTATTTGTATTGGGGTCATGCCCTCAGAGCCCCATATCACATTGTGCTAGTTACTGAACAAAAACATAACCAAGACAGTCTCTGTCCCCAAAGACCTTACATTTTCAAGCACAGATCCTACAAACACTAACGCGTGTTTAACTTTACTACCATGAACCATGTCATGAATCAAGAACTTTGAAATTAATGGGATTACTAAAATGGTAAAGTTAAGCATGTGCATAAGCATTTGCAGGATCAAGGGCTAGGGTATAACATGTAGTTACAACAGACATGGAGAGCATAAGTAACAATGAGATATTATAAGCCAATATCTCTATATACACAATTTATATCAGAGCAATGTGCCTTTAAAAGTAACTCCTCCCACTCTTTATATTTGCTGTGAATGCTAGAAATACCAGCTGTAACAGCTGAACCAGACAATCTACTCCTAGCTGGGCAATTACCCTGGGCACACCTAGGGAGGGAGCAATTACATGACAGAACACATGCACAGAGTGAAGACTAGTATTTGCTGTAGTGTGGCCAGACAAGTTTTAGTCTGATACCTTTCAGTAATTGGATAGTGGCTCCTAAGTCAGGGCCAGCCACACAAACAACATTCCCCCACAAAAAGCACAACTTTCATACAGCCCGACAGAGCGTAGTCCACTTCAGCTTGAAGGGTGAAGGGTAGCAGTGCAAAAAAACATTGGAGGGGGTACGAGAATGAGCCTTCATTTCTGTGTCTGCAGCTTGGGCTTATCATTCGCCTCCTTTTCATTCTCCCTTTCTGGTTGAGGCTGGCACAGAGCCATGCCAGCCCTGCTGGTCGTCTACCCTTAAGTATTTTACCTGTAGCATCTCACATCAGTTGATCTGAGCTAACAGCTTTCATTCACAGCAGTTGCCAGAGAGAGCACACTTCTCTCGCAACATTGCCAATATTGCAAAATACGATTTTTGCAAAGGACAATATTGCAAAGGACAATTTTTGAAGCAAGTAGGGTTTAGAGTTGCTAGAGACCCACCTACAACTGGGCAAAGTAGAAATGTGCAAATATTCTGGTTCATTTTAGGTTGTTCACTCACCATCTGAAGATAAAGAACTAGAAAGCTGCACATGATCTATGGCAACTGAAAGGAAGCATCCCCCCACCTTTTATGAATACATTCCCCTTGACCGTCTTGCCCCTTCTCATCACATTCCTAGTGAGCATTTACACTCTTCTCCCCACACATTCATTTGCCACTTTTTTGGTCCAAGGACATTCTAGGATTGAGGGAAACACAAGATGGCCATAACACTGCTATACTCTGAAGACAGCTTCACTTCTGGCTGCTTAGCAGCTCTTTCAGGACCTACCAGGACCAGATGGTATTCACCCAAGAGTTATGAAGGCACTCAAATGTGAAATTGCAAGACTACTAACTGTAGTCTATAACGTATCATTTAAATCAGCTTCTGTACCAAATGACTGGAGGATACCTAATGTGATGCCAATTTTTGAAAAAGGGCTCCAGAGGTGACCCCAGCAATTATAGGCCGGTAAGTCTGACTTCAGTACCAGGTAAACTGTTTCCAATTATAGTAAAGAACAAAATTGTCAGACACACAGATTAAACATAATTTGTCGGGGAAGAGTCAACATGGTTTTTGTAAAGGGAAATCATGCCTCACCAATCTACTAGAATTCTTTGAGGGGGTCAACAAGCATGTGGACAAAGGGGATCCACTGGCTATAAAGTACTTAGATTTTCAGAAAGCCTTTGACAAGGTCCCTCACCAAAGGCTCTTAAGCAAAGTAAGCAGTCATGGATAAGAGGGAAGGTCCTCTCATGGATTGGTAACTGGTTAAAAGATAGGAAACAAAGGGTAGAAATAAATAGTCAGTTTTCAGAATGGAGAGAGGTAAATTGTGGTTCTCAGTGGTCTGTACTGGGACCAGTCCTATTCAACATATTCATAAAAGATCTGGAAAAAGGGGTAAACAGTGAGGTGGCAAACTTTGCTGATGATACAAAACTACACAAGATAGTTAAGTCCCAAGCAGACTGCAAAGAGCTAGAAAAGGATCTCTCAAAACTGGATGTCTGGGCAACAAAATGGCAGATGAAATTCAGTGCTGATAAATGTAATGTAATGCACATTAGAAAACATAATCCCAAGTATACATATACAATGATTGGGTCTAAATTAGCTGTTACCACTCAAGAAAGAGATCTTGGAGTCCTTATGCATAGATCTCTGAAAACATCCATCAATGTGCAGTGGCAGTGAAAAAAGCAAACAGAACGTTGGGAATCATTAAGAAAGGGATAGAGAATAACACAGAAAATGTAGTGTCTATATAAATCCATGGTACACCCACATCTTGAATACTGTGTGCAATGTGGTCGCCACATCTCAAAAAAGATATATTGGACTTGGAAAAGGTTCAGAAAAGGGCAAAAAAAATGATTAGGGGTATGGAACGGCTGCCATGTGACGAGAGATTAATAAGACTGGGACTTTTCAGCTTGGAAAAAGAGATGACTAAAGGGGGATATGACAGAGGTCTACAAAATCATGACTGGTGTGGAGAAAGTAAATAAGAAAGTGTTATTTACTCCTTCTCATAACAGAAGAACTAGGGGTCACCAAATGAAATTAAGAGGCAGCAGCTTTAAAAACAAACAAAAGGAAGTATTTCTTCTCACAACACCCAGCCAATCTGTGGAACTCCTTGCCAGAGGATGTTGTGAAGGCCAACAGGGTTCAAAAAAAGAACTAGATAAATTCATGGAGGATAGGTTCATCAATGGCTATTAGCCAGGATGGGCAGGGATGGTATCCCTAGCCTCTGTTTGCCAGAAGCTGGGAATGGGTGACAAAGAATGGATCACTTGATGAATAGCTGTTCTGTTCATTCCCTCTGGGACACCTGGCATTGGCCACTGTCAGAAGACAGGATACGGGGCTAGATGGACCTTTCGTCTGACCCAGTATGGCCATTCTTATGTTCTTTCTCTCTCAAGTGAATCCAGTAACTCTCTGCTACTCCGCCCCCCCATGATTTGCTATCACTCAGGATATGTCTACACTACATCTGGGAACAAGCCTCCCAGCCTAGGTCCATGACTTGTGTTAGTGGGGCTCATGCTAGCACACTAAAAATAGCTGTGTAGACATTGCAGCTTGTGCCGGAGCTTAGCTGTGAAGGCCCACCAATCCAAACTCCAGCCTGAGAAACATTTACACAGGCAGTTTTAGCGCATTCGTGCAAGCCCCACCAATACAAGTCTGTGGCCTTGTGCTGGGAGACTCACTCCCAGATGCAGTGTAGACATACCCTACTACAGATTTTTCAGGGCTTTTAAAGAAGTTATTCAACAAGCATGAACACATTCAGCTATAACAACACTGGACATGCAGATTCTTTCCTCCCTCCTTCATATAAGATACAATAGCATTCAGTGATCACACTCATGGTATACGCTATGAGAAATGATCAGCGCACCGTATCAATATTGTAATCACTGAGTCAGTTGTTTATAGTATTTCTCTGCCTGATGTTTCTTGTGGCTATCTCCTACATCTGTACATTTTGCAACTCAGATAAACTGCGCATATCATCTGCCATTCTAAAATGTGTGGTTCTTTCTGGCCTTATAATATACAAATGTGCAGGATGCCAATGTGGAGATTCTTTCTTTATGTTATTTTCTAGACATTTTAGACTTCATACTCACTTGTATCACCTCTCTCTAATTTAATTGTTAGCTCACTGGCAAGGCTATGCCAAAGAAAATTCAGTCCATGTTACCTCTTGTTAAGAATTCTCATAATCATACCAATGAGTCCCATTAAAATTATAAATAATATTGCTTTATTAAATTAATTGTATTAAACTCCTAGAAAGGAATTATATGATTTCAGTTACAGAATTAAATGAAGGAAAGCCATTGCTGTCTTTGTAGTTATCTAAATACAGATAGGAAGAGGCTGTAAGGATTCCAGCTGGTCCAAGTAAAGGCAGGGAAAAGGAAAAGTTCCCTTAAGAGACATAAGGCTCAGAAATATAAAAAGTCCTATAATACAATTAAACTAAAAATTCAGTGATGTGTTGTAAACTGTAACTGCAAGAGTGGACCATATTATTCACCAGTTTCCTTAAAGTTATGAACTGTGAACAGAACAACAATGTAGTTAACACGACAGATCTCAGCTGTTCTTCCTTCCATCCCCTCCCTCTCAAAAAAAATAAAATAAAATAAAGTTATGAAATCAGCATTATCTGTAAGGACAGGAGGGAAACTTGCCTCCATAAATACTAGAAATTCCCCCATTCCCATATCTATTATATAAAGTAACTAGCTGTTATAAGTCAGTTTCAAGTACAACAGGTGGTTGAGGCAAAAATCAGAATCCGTTCATAAGAACCGATACTGTAATACAGTAATTTGGAAGAGACAAACAAGTACCCAGAGCAGCGATTAGACATCAGGGCTGCTGTACCATAGATCTGATGTGCCAGTAGAAAATTAAGATGTCTCTATTTCCAAAAATTGAGGACATTCATTTCAATCTTGGGTAATCTAATCTTAGTGCAAAACAGATGCTATGACAGCTTTAGCAAAGAGAGGTGATGCATCTTTATGAAGGCCAAAATCTTGTTCAGTCATCACTGTCACTTCCAGATTCACTCAGCAGCAAGTCATTTCCTAAAATAGAAGATAAAGTCATTGTATTAGTTCCATTAAACTAAGACTATTTTTCCATCAAGAAGTTCTTTCTTCCCCCATCCAGTATCTTCTATTAGGAATTTAACACCAAAACATTGTATAGATTTAAAAACTCATCTGTTGTCTTAACTACTGGAGTGAGAGTCTTAGGGCTACATCACTTATGTGACCTTTGAAAGCCCCACATTACTCACACTTAACCCACCAGATTGAATGAGTTTGTGTACGGGAATTAGTGCAAGCAGGCCACAGTGGACTAGCTAGCTTCCCATCCACCTTCTGATACTTGATCAGCAAGGAAGCTGCTGGGGAATGCAGTTTCATTAAAAAAATAAAACAATAGGATAGGAGTTATTGCTGTCTGCATGTATCTAAATGCCTCTTGGATCTGTTTGAGAGCAAAGTAGTATCCAAATCAAGGTGAGAACAAGCTGTTTGACACACCTTTTCAAAAAAATAATCAGGCTGTGGAGCAAGACAGCAAACAAAAGATCAAAGGAAATATTTATGTATGCTGTCACCAAAAAATTAATCGGGAGTTATTTTAAAATGGGACACAAGAAAAGCGACTATCCAGTGCTTGCAACAGCTGTCTATATAACTAACAGAAAATAAGTTCTCCCTGCTATTTCTTTTTTCAACTTGACAAGCAGTTTTTCTCCCACTCCACCATCTCCCACATATAGGATGAAATTAAAGGGATACTGTCAACAGCAAATCTATATTTTTTTTAAAATGAGTTAGATGCAATTTCAGATACTGCATCAGCCCTTCTATTCCCCTGCCAGCTTGGTAGTTATGCAACTGCATTTTCCTTTATTTAAAAAAAAAAAAAAAAAAAGGAAACAAGAAAAGAATTTCCCTCCCCTTGTTGCTGGGTGAAATGCCTAAACAAATAGGAAAGTGACTGAGGGGGGAGGGATAGCTCAGTGGTTTGAGCACTGGCCTGCTAAATCCAGGGTTGTGAGTTCAATCCTTGAGGGGGCCATTTAGGGATTTGAGGCAAAGATTAGGGATTGGTCCTGCTTTGAGCAGGGGGTTGGACTAGATGACCTCCTGTGGTCTCTTCCAACCCTGATATTCTATGATTTAATGAAAGCAACTATACACAAAGTACTGTCAAATGCTCCTAACTTTGTCAGTTACGGCAATCTTTAGTATTACTTATGAGGTCATTATAGGGAGATGAGAACAAGGGGTTAGTATAAAGGGGGAGAGGACACGCCTGGATGGGTACCTCCCGATTGGTAGGTCAGAGCTTTTCAGATAAGAGTGACTGAAGTTGATGGGAGTCCCCTTAACAAAGCTTTGTGTTTACACTTCCTTTGTTTTGCACCATGTCCTCGGCAACTTTTATCTCTGGGAATGGTTACAGCGTGGCCCTTTGCAGCAGAGCACAGAACACTCTACCTGCCTCTGACATGAACAGTGAAAAGCAATTGCTTGTAGTGCAGGAGGAGGATTAAAAGCACAGATGGGATTGGAAGAGTATAAGTACTAGACACAGAATGTACGCCTAACCACTTGGTTATATCATTTGAAATCCTCTGTATTTTATTTTTACATTAAAAAGCAGAGATGGCTAAGAGTCTACTCAAATAGAAGTATTATTTCAAAATAAGAAGTATCATTAGGATGGCTACAGTTGTACTTCAAATCACGTAGTTCTCCAAAATATTCTCCTTTACCCCTCTACCCCTTTAGTTCCCCAATTGCTGTTCTTGCCTCTTCCCCACAGTCCACTCCAAAAATAGGTCATAGCCATCCACATGGTCACAGCCTTCAAAAGCAGTTATTCCTCAAATAAGCCATCTAATGCTCACCAAAGACAACAGTCTCATGAAATCCAAGAGGTTGGAACAAATCTGGAGTTTCATGCCAAGGTGTCCGCAATAAGACAAACTCCCCTCTCCCTCACCCCCCCCCCAAAAAAAAGTGTTTGGAAAAATAACCCTGAAATGAAATCCACCTCCATTTTGTACCCATGCCTCGCAAAGGCCTTTTCATAGTTGCCTCAAACTTTCCAGAAAGATTCTAGCCTGCACGATCCCAGCATAAGAAGTTTCAGATACATTGGCTGGTGCACATGTCAAAAACATGGAGAGCTAACTTCACCCAGGACTCTAAAAAAACACCTACATTACTTAGGCTCAACTGATTTAACAAATAGCAGAAGTAAAGTAGGGAAATAATTTCAGGAAAACAGTCCATTTTCACAGTGCTGATGAGCTGGTTGACATTATCAAGATATTAAGTAGGTTTCATTACAGAGTGTGCCATGTACTGGGATATTAATCAGTGGTCCCATACAGTATTTAGCTTTTTTTAAATAAGTTCTTGGAGAAGTGTTAGATTGTCAGCTTTCTGGAGAAATGGCCATCTTTTTGTTCGGTGTTTGTATAGCGCCTAGCACAGTGGGGCTGGTCCATGACTGGGGCTCCTAAGTGCTTCTGCAACTGGAATAAAAAATATCTGGATGAAAACTGCACTATAGGAGTGAGCAAACAAGAGATCTCAGAGATAGCAAGTCATTGGGCATCTTCCTTCACGGAATTTTTAATTTGTTCTCAGTTAGTAATTTCTGTTTAAAAGGAAATTAAACAGAGCAGCTTTTCACTATTTTTTAAATGCAATATTCTCTTGCAGATACCTTAGACCACCCATGTTGTGTCACAAGTTATGGGCCTATATAATCAATTTCAAAAGTAGATGAGGAATTATTTTGGGGACAAGGCTCATAGCAAGGAAAGGGCAAAGCCTTTGAGGCCAGGCTACCTAAAAAGGTAGGTTCTATACACAGGGCAATATTAAGAGGTAACTATGCTCCAGACATAGACCAGTGCATTTTCAGCATTCTGCAAAGCTTCAGCTGTATGACTTAATGAGAGTGATTTGACTAACCCCCTATGCCCCACCAAATTCTAATTGCCACTACATTTAAGGTAACATTAGGACTGCACATAGTAAAATACCCAACTAACCCTCAAGGGCCCCAATTCTGCGGACATGCTCATGCTTAAATATATGCATTTGAATAGCCCCATTGAAGTCACACCTCAAATGTGACACAACCACTAAACAGTTTGATCTTAAGATTTGCTGTTTTAAACATTTGTTTATGTAAGATACTGTTTCAGATGGAAGAAATTTCTATGCTGGACCCCTGACTCTGAATTCCAACACCCAGCAGATCTCCCAAGACTCAGAGGCCACAGGCTCCCTGTCTTGCTTCTCTAGCTTTCACTGCTACTTCTCCTCTCCTGCTGTGCTCCTAAACTGCACAGGTGATGCCTCAGGAGCTCAGCAGGAGAGTAGCTGGAGAGCCATGCTCCCCACAGCAGCCAGTGTGCAGTGCCTTTTCATCTCAGCTCACCACCCTATTATGGTGCAGTTCACATTTTAAAGGCATTTGTGGAGAACTGGAGATGGCACAGATCTACAGAGCTGCTTAAAATGTTAAAGTAACAGAGGTAAACTGGATAAGAGCTCAATTTTAAGCAGGTTTATAGCTAAACCAGCATGAAGTTTTAGACCGCTCACAAGGGTCAGAGGATCCACCTCCCTCCCTGCAGAGTTCTTAAGTCCCACAGGGTTCCTGGGCTCCTTGCTGTGGTTTTGGTATTTCTGCAAGTTTAAGACATCAGGGTGTTTCACTATGACAGTTTTAACTGGTGGCAGCAGCCACCTGTACTTGGGCATAAATCTTTCAACGGGAGCTTTGTAGCTGTGAACTAGCCATTAATCACTTAAGATGGTTCATTTTATTCTCAAAAGTGTTTTTTTTCCCTAAATGTGTGTAAAATGGCAAGTTTGAAAGTATTTTCATGTCTGGAGTGAAGGGACTGATGTATACAGAACTTTCTAAAGATACACTGATTGTAATATGAAGCCTAGGCCATGGAAGTTGCTTTAGGCCATGGAAGTTAACGCAAAAAATTTAGTCCTCTTGCACAATGATCAGATGTTTTCAGTCTAATCTTATTCCTGTGAAGGAAGTGGTATATGAAAATAAGGCTTATAACAGAAACCTGATTGTAAGCTTAGCTACATCATCACAATATACAACTAGCTTGTTACCAATTTTAATTCCTTATAATAGTGAAACACAAGAGGACATACAGATTATGTAGGAGATATTTTCACTATAACCAGTGTAAACTGTCAAAAAACTTCAGTATATAGCATCACTATGTAAATTAGGGCCTATGACCAAGTTTTTCCAAACTTGTGAGCCTGAAGTTAGGCACTTAATTAAAAGTGTGGCTTTGTTTTCAAACAGCAGCGGTGGGTGCTCATCAATTCTGAAAAATCAGGCCTGGTTTATTTTGGTGCTAAGCTTGAAGACCTTTACCTACGTGGTTGCTTGTTGCTGTTCAAACCAGTGATACATATTGTTGTCCAGAAAGAAGAGTATTAAAAAATCCCAGTTGTACTTTAAATATCTTAAGTTTGTCATAATTTTCTTCAAGCAGAACACTGTGAATCAGTTTTGGTTGTTGGTATTCTCCCATCCCTTCAACATGGAAACGGTACGAAACATCCTCCTTTCCCTACATACATAGGAGGGGACTGGCACCTTGTAGATTAGAAAGGCCTCCATGAATCACAAGACTTCTGCGTGGATTAGGACAGTGGCTCTCAACCTTTCTAGAGTACTGTACCCCTTTCAGGAGTCTGATTTGTCTTACGTACCCCCAAGTTTCTCCTCACTTAAACTACTTGCTTACAAAATCAGACACAAAAATACAAAAGTATCACAGCACACTATTACTGAAAAATTGCTTACTTTCTCATTTTACCATATAATTTTAAAATAAATCAATCTGAATATAAATATTGTACTTATATTTCAGTGTATAGCATACAGAGTAGTATAAACAGGTCATTGTTTGCATGACATTTTAGTTTGTACTGACTTCGCTAGGGCTTTTTATGTAGCCTGTTGTAAAACTAGACAAATATCTAGATGAGTTGATGTACCTTCTGGAAGACCTCTGCGTATCCCCAGAGGTACATGTATCCCTGGTTGAAAACCACTGGATTAGGATAACCTTCTTTTGTAACTGATTAGTACCAGGACAATATTATTCCAGTATCATCTACTCAGGAAATCATACACATATATTTTGGGAGTGCCTAAGCAGTTCAAGCATTTTCAACACAAATTACTGTCCTATAGTCCCAATGTATGCAATTGTGAGGACGCCAGTACGGCCTATGACCTACTTTAAACTGCATCAGCTTTAATTTAATATCTCTGATGGTCAAGTAACTTTTAGCCCAACTTCTAATTCAGAACTCAACTGAACAATCGAACCCCAGCATCTCTTCCCACAATTTTAATTACAATAGAGACATAGTTACAGAGTCTCTGGTTTCCTTTTAGATTCCTAAAGCATGAGATTGTTCTTTTCATAGAGCACTGTCTTCTGTACTTACTTAGTGTATTCATCATATGGCCACCACTCTCTTGAGATTTGTTATGACTGGCATCCATGTCACGGATGGCCTGTTGTGGTATGGCAGACATAGCAGGCTGTGGCTGCAAGTATGGCATTGACATAGGCAGAGAAGGCTTAGCCCCCTCATCTTCTGAATCACTAGAACTATTTTCACTGCTGGATGAGGAGGAGGATGAACTTCTTGATTCGGACGAACTATCAGAGCTACTCATCTGGTCCATGACGCTAGCCTCGGCCTTTAGCTCTGAAAATAAGATGTAGATTAATTAAGAAACAAAGCAAGAGGAGTCTCAGAGTTTAAAGGAAATGGCAACAAGGGAAGTGCTGCACAAGCAAGTGACTGTAGTGAATGTCACAACATTATTACAAGTCGTAAGTGACTAAACTGAAAGACATAAGATCCAGGAGTGAAGTGGGGTACACAAGCAACCTGATCACCCTACTTGTATGCCATATTCCTCTCCTCCACTCCTTGCTGTCTTACTTTTAGGCCACATGCTTTTCAGAGCAGAGATGAATTAGGGTTCAGATAAGGCTGCTGGCCAAGGTGCTGCCCCCTACACTTCAGTGGGCAGCATGACCTAACTCGCCCTTAATATCTGCCTCTGATTAGAGAGCCTTATTTTTCAGGCTTTGTTTAACACCTCTACAGATGTCTGACAGGAGTCAATAACTCAATTTAGACTCAAGGGACAGATAGTGAAAAAAGGAATCGGTCAGTGGAACATCTGAAGGTGCAGCAGCAATGGCTGGCAGCAATTTTGGTATTATAAACAACATGTACATGTTTGTCTAGACATTCATTGTTCTCAATCACAAATTAAGCATTGTGGGATACCTGCAGCAATTACCCATATTTTTAAATTATGGAACAGTTTCATTAAATCCTTATTGATTCTTTTTATAGGTCTGGGAAAAATTTAGAATAGCTAGCAGGAAACCATCCAGACCCCAGCACACAATTTACTGTGGCTAAACAAATAAATCTGATTGGCAGCACATAGGGACAGGGCTTTGGGATATGTTAGTCTTGGTGACGCACTCAGAACAGGTTCTAAACAAAACAAACAGACCACGGAGAAAAATTCTCAGGTTTCTCATGCACTTGAGCACCACTTTGTTTCTTTTGCAGCCTTAGGTACTTTTAATTGCCTTTCTGTGGAGTAAGACACTCTGGTCAAAGTTTGTCTTAATCACAAAGAAAAGACATCTGCATAATGATAAATCTGGGGGAAAAAACTGTTTAAAAGAATCCAGAACATCCTTGAGAGCCAATATCAATTCAGATCAATAAAGCTACCACCTGTTAGTGTTCATATAGCAAGTGATTAACACCTGCTTTTCTCTCCCCATCCACTAAAAGGAAAAAGTGTGTCTCCTACTGAATTAAATACAAAGGTTCCTACTGAAACAAAGTCTCCCAAGAACATAGCATATGGCATGGTTCTCAAGGATGGGATTTATGTAAGTGTTCAGTTGTCTCTTACCATTTAGGGAACCACTTCTGCAGGTCTGATCTGATTTAGAAGGCAGGGTGCTATTTGAGTCTCTGTGACTAGGTTTACATGATAATGAACTCACACAAATTTAGAGTTTTATTAAAAACTAAAAGGGTTGTAAAGCATTTTAACCAAAGATTTGCTGTATGCAAAGGACAAAGAACGAGGAGGGACAGGTGGAGTGAGGAAGAAGTGGAGGACTGGCTGATTTGGCTTCAGTGCCACAATCCTACAATTGAATAGCTTAAGACAGCAGCAGTGGGAGGACTCAGTGAGAACTAAAGCAATGCTAATCATGACCTTCATAAGACTAAGGATTGATTTGATTCTCAATCCTATGTGGTTTCAAATACTGTTGGATTACTACTCTTGTCAAGACAGCCATTAAACTTTAGAGAACATTGACTATGTAACAGCTTCTAGTGCGCACCTCATTCAAAAAAACCCTTGGCTCTATTTATAATGTAAGTCTGCAAAATTTCTGAAATACTAAGTGACATAGTTGCAGTTTACCTCTCTCAATGTCGTCCATAGGAGAAGATGGAGACATCTTTTCTTTTGGTGGAGAATTTTTAACATTGTTTGGAGTCTTACTGGCATTTCGCATTTGCTGCTGTTGCTGCTCAATACGAGATTGAACCTTACTGCTTCCTTCAGCTCTGTATGACAGGGTGAAACATTTTAATTGATTCCGAAGAACAATATTTAAACAAAATAAAAACACACAGTAGTCTAAGCTGTGTGTGAAGCTATTCATTATGTTTTTCTTAACTGTATCACTACAGTTTTAAGTTTCAAAGTACACTATAACAGTGGTTCTCAAACTTTTTAACAAGGTATCCACCAACTGCATTTTGTCTTTTTTTGTGACCCACTATTACATATATGCACCCTCCATCCCAGCACACCACAACCATACCTCTGGTTTAGTGCAGCCCAGTACAGAGGGAAGGCCTTGGGAGACGGGGGACTGGAGAGCGAGCCCACCCCACACTCACCCTGCAGTGGTGGCTCCTGTCCTGTGGGACCAGAACCAGCTGCCTACTCCTGGCGTTGTGACCTGGCACATGGGACCACAGCGCTGTTCAAGTTTGGCCCGATGGCCCTTCCCATACCACCAGGCTTCCCCTCCACACCAATCTGGGAGAAGTGTATATCTGCCTAGGCCAGGGCCCAGTGATCGGTTAATCCAGCCCCTGGATATGGCAACCTACCTAGAACCTTCTTGGGACCCACCATTTGGGAAACACTGCAGTACTACACTGGCATATAACAAGATATAGGTGCAGTGAGTACTGTGCATCAAAAGAATAATGTCCATTGATGCCATTCATATTGGCCCTTTGACCCGATCCTCTACCATGCTGTTTCACATTTTCTTCAGTTATGCACTAACACTTCATTAGAATTCTAGTGGAAGTGAGTTATATGTGGACATAGCATCAGAATATGTGTTAATGGGAATTACATACTCAGTAAGAGGAGAACGCGTCCTCAGCATTTTGCTAAACCCTTTCACAAGAATTTATGCTATTTTAATTTACACAGTTCAAAGTCAGAAAACAGCAGCAAAACAATTTCATTTGTGTAGCAAAAAGCTATTTTCCAAACTTATTATGAGAAAACAGTTATTGTCTCTTGCAGGGATATGCAATGTTTCTGTTCAAAACCTACCCTACTAGCCTAGACTTGAAAGCTATAAAGTCGTCATTTTTTGAGAAAAATAATGACATGCTTTTTCATTCCATCGAACAAGGGTAGGTTTTTGTAAGGACCATGTTGGAAAAAGTGAAATTTTGCTAAAAGCTAAGAATAGTTGGTATGTATCCCAATTTACACTTTCAGCTATTTCTAAGGGCTTGTCTACGTGGTATGTTGGTGCACACCAGCTAGGGTGTAAACTCTAGTGCACACCTGTGCACTAACTGGCCACATTGTCCCTGCGGGTGTACACTAAAAGTTCTCTACTGTGGGTTGACATAGTCCTGTTTCAAACCCTACTAACTGCATGTGCACTCAGGTACCAGCCGTAAACCATTTTCATAATGAGTTAGGGACATAGCAGTTTCTTTTGTAAACCACCTACCTGGTTTTCTTCACAGTGATGTTACTGCTAAGTTTCTCTAGTCGACATTCTCCAGTGTCATGATTGATAATTAAGATACATTCCTTTAGATAAGGCTTCTTGGAGCCCTTGAAAACTGTTACTGGTGGAGTTGAACCCTATTTAAAAATTGAAAAAATATCTAATTAGCATTATTTCAATAGACTTATTTGTATAAATACAGAATGAGCCTTTACAGTAATGAAAAGTACACTGTAATTGATCATTTCTAGCCTTTTAAAATCTGTTACCAACTAATTCAAGAGAAACTCAGATTAGTAGTAACTAAGTGTGAAATCCTGGCTCTACTGAAGACACTGGCAGTTTTGCCATTGACTTCAGTGTGGCCTTGATTTCACCCAACCAGTTTGAAATAAACCAGTAATCACAATCCAGTTTCTAACAGACAGGCACATGCATCACAAAACTACCACCAAAACTGGAATGCTTGTTGGCAATATTAGAAGAGTAATCCGGGATTACAGGAGATTGAATTCTCCACCCCAGTGGTGGTGCATACACCCCCACCCCTTTGGGATTGTGCCATAACGTCAAGGCAGTGTCAGTGCTGTACTTGTTTTATAGACAGAGAATTTTAGGGTTGTCAATTACAGCATATTTCCAGCACAGTGAATTCACTTAATGTTACAGCATAATTACCTGACCTTTGTAATTCTGCATTTTCTGGTGTGATTATTTCTTTCCCAATGCTTTAAAAGCTACATGCATACAATCTTGAAACAACAGCAAACTGAAAATGCTGAAATGTGAAACGCTTCTATATTCAACATATATGGTGATTCAGTGAGAGAAGCCTCTCCTTTTCCCCATCCCCTAATGATATTCAGCCCTCACCTCAATGTTTGGCAGCGTTATTGTCACCTGTTCACCTTTGCCAACTTCAAGGTCTCCTTCAGAGGATGTATCAATAGATGCAGGCTTGAAGTCATCTACGATTTAAAAAACACCCTGATTTTCATGAGTCCCTTAAATACTGACACACATTTCATAAAAGCAAAAGGTGGTGAGTTTGGGAGGCACTTAAAATCAATGACTTAGTATCTTTGCTAGTGCAGCATCCACCACTCCTTAGCAGATTTTTCCACAAGCCATAGAGCTCACAGTCAAGGTGGTTTGCCTGATATTCAACCTAAATTTCATCAAGTTTTGGTGTTGGAGCTCTTCAAAAAAAAGTTGAAAGATTTTTATTTTGATTAATAAGGAAAGTTTCTCCAGTTCACCTCACATTCAAAATAAATGGTCAAACCAGTTTGCTGATACTTAAAGAAAAACCCTCCAAAAAAGCCACAGAATTACTTTTGGGTTGAGACCAACCCTGGAAAATTTCAGCCAAAAAAATGGAAGTTGCAGACAGCTGTGACTAAAAACAGGAAAGTAGACTGGAAACACATATGCAGCCCTAACTATAGCATGCTCTTACTGTATTAAGAGCATCAAAGGCAAAACCATATGCACTAGCAAGGTTGTGGTTGTTGTTTTTATTTTTAAGTACATATATTTCTCTCTAAAATGGAATTGTTAAAAGCCACCTTCATATACTTATTTTAATCTCCTTTATCATCAGTCATTCTTAGAAACCTAACAATGTCTCTGTGCGGGTATGGATTTCCCCTCTTTGCATGTTTCAAAGAGCTGGAAAATTAGAGATGAACATTACTTTGTTTCATCAGAGTTGTCAGCCCTCCCAACAAGATCTGCTAATGATTGTTACTCAGCTAGCATAATTTATTTGCAAGGTCCTAAACAAGCTCCAACGGTCTCAAGCTCCTGCTAGCAGCACCTTACAGAGCTGAGCACCACAGTTCTGGTCCTTCTTGTGGTAAGAATGAGACTATGCCAGTCTTCAGTGGATGCTGCTGGGTAATCAGCATTTTGGCCAATCTTTTCAGAAATGGCTGACTAAATAAATGTCCAGTTTACCTACTCGTACGAAGTATAAAAGATAAGATTACAATAACAAAGGCTAGAGGAAAAATATGGCTTTTCTGTTTATCTTGTGCATTTGACAGCACTGTCAGGTTTGCCGATTTCCTTGCATCTTTCTTCGCAGAGTGACAGGGAAGAGAAACATTTTGAAACAGAAAAAAGGGCTTGTAAAACCACAAAAGTCAACAGGAAAACTTAAGGGCAGGTGTAGTACTAGAGCCTATTTTTACTTATTTTTTAAAAATACTGAACACATTGCAAGTTACAGCACCTCTTTAAATCCACTCACAGCTTTTAGGTTCCTCTCACACCCTCTTCCCCAAAGATGTGGTCAATTCTATTAAATAGGATTCTATTTGCTCACAGAATATACATTATCCATCTCATCTCACTGTATGAGAGAATACAGGATAATCTCCAGAGAACATGTGAGACACCAAACCTTGGGGATCATTCTATAAATAAATGAGACAGCAGAACAAAAACTGCAGCCCTAAATTATCAGAACCATAATCCTAACAGCATTTGTTTCCTAGATACCTTCAGAACCTGTGAGAACACACCTCCCAGGATAGTAGTTATTATGTACTCAGGAAGGGCACACTAGCTTTGAGAGCAATACTGCCTTTAATCTTTGATTGTTGAGAGCCCTGCCATGGCCAGGGGCAGAGCTTCACCCAAAACTCAGATTTTTGTAGTATTGTGCCAAGACACTATTGTTTCCCAAAATATACCATAATGTATGGTACATGAATTTAGTACACATAAAAGGAAGAACTAGATGAAGAACGCAGGCACTGTGTGAACTTCACCCCAAACTTTACTAGCAACACACCTGTTCATTAGTCTTGCTCAGAGTCTCTCATGAGCAATAACTACAACCTGCTGTGAACTGTATGGTTTTATATTCAAGACATTAGATTAGGATTTAAGAGACCTAGGTTCAATTCCCAGCTCTGCCACAGACTCCCTGTATAACCTCACAAATGTTGCTTCATCTTTCTGTGCCTCAGTTCTACATCTTATGGTTTTATGTTCAATCCCTTTCTCTGATTCTTTCTGTTCTCATTTGGACTGTCAGTTCTACAGGGTAGGAACGGTTTCTTACCAAATGTACCTTTCTGCACAGCATCTACCTCAGTGGGGACCTGATGTTAGTCAGAGGCTCTAGGTGTTACCATAATACAAACAAAGAATGCAGTAGCTTTGCCACATTTGATTCCTATCCAAAGCCCTCCCCCTGTGCCCTCCGCGCTCTCCATGCTGCATCATACCAACATTTTCAAAAGCAAGTTCAAAAAGATCCAACATGCTCTCCTTCTGCCCCATCACCATCTTCTCTTTCTCCCAGTCACCAACAGCAGCCTGCTCCCCTACTCTCACCCCACCAGAAGCCCCAATGACTTCATCTCCTCAACTCCTGATCTACCCTATCCTCACTCTCAACCTCTCACTCTTCACAGGCTCATCCTCACAACAGCAAAATGCCAGGGTAAGGGAGATAAAAAAAACCCCAAGCCGCCACCCTCTGCGTCTGCCTCTCCATTTACTGCCCCATCTCTCAACCCAAAGATGAAGCCATCTGCAATCACTATCTCAAGCTCATCTCCTTCAACTCCATCTGCCAGCATAGAGAGTACTTGTACAACATAGACAGACAAGTGTAGAGACTACAGAGATGTCAGGAGGGGTGCTGATTTCCTCTAAGGTATGATCAGCCAGGCAATGCCATATCTGCAGGGGTGGGGAGTTATAAGGGGGGATGCTGATTTTTCCTGGAGTATGGCCAGCTAGCCAGCGCTATACCCATGGGAGGTGAGGATAGGGAATCACAGGGGTGCCGTGCCCCGCCGGCCAGGCGGTGCCGTGCCCCGGGGTACGCCCGGCCAGGCGGTGCCGTGCCCCGGGGTACGCCCGGCCAGGCGGTGCCGTGCCCCGGGGTACGCCCGGCCAGGCGGTGCCGTGCCCCGGGGTACGCCCGGCCAGGCGGTGCCGTGCCCCGGGGGGGTCACAGGGGTGGGGGGTACGCCCGGCCAGGCGGTGCCGTGCCCCGGGGGGTCACAGGGGTGCCGGGGGTACGCCCGGCCAGGCGGTGCTGTGCCCCGGGGGGGGTCACAGGGGTGCCGGGGGGTACGCCCGGCCAGGCGGTGCCGTGCCCCGGGGGGGGGTCACAGGGGTGCCGGGGGGTACGCCCGGCCAGGCGGTGCCGTGCCCCGGGGGGGTCACAGGGGGTGCCGGGGGGTACGCCCGGCCAGGCGGTGCCGTGCCCCGGGGTACGCCCGGCCAGGCGGTGCCGTGCCCCGGGGGGGGGTCACAGGGGTGCCGGGGGGTACGCCCGGCCAGGCGGTGCCGTGCCCCGGGGGGGGGGTCACAGGGGTGCCGGGGGGTACGCCCGGCCAGGCGGTGCCGTGCCCCGGGGGGGGGTCACAGGGGTGCCGGGGGGTACGCCCGGCCAGGCGGTGCCGTGCCCCGGGGGGGGGTCACAGGGGTGCCGGGGGGTACGCCCGGCCAGGCGGTGCCGTGCCCCGGGGGGGGGTCACAGGGGTGCCAGGAGGACTCTGAGCTCCCCGGGTGTGTCCAGCCAGGCGGTGTCAGGCCCCGGGGAGTTGCAGGGGGGGTGCTGATCTCCCCGTGGTACGACCAGTCATGCCAGGAGAGGGTCGGGTGGGGGGGGGATGCTGAGCTCCCCTGGGAATGACCAGCCAGGCCCACGGGCGCGGGGGGAGCTGATTCACTCCGCGAGGGTCAAGCACCCAGCGCCCACACCCGCTGCCCCCCGACCAGCGCGGCGGGAGGCCCCGTCACGGGGCAGCGCCGGCCGCTACCCGGCCCCCACTCACAGCGGACGGTGTGGAAGGCGCAGCGCGGCTGCTTCTCGAAGCTCTCGCCCAACTTCAGCACACGCTCCTTGGGGTCAAAGAGCTGAGGGGCCGCCCCGTTCATACCGGCTTCCCGCGCCGCCTCACACCATCGGGACGCCGCGCAGCCCCCGCCGCCGCGCAACGTCCCCTCACCGCCGGGGGCGGGGCACAGCCTCGCACCGGCCACGCCCACCCAGCGCCCTTACTGGAGACTGCTTTTCCTGGCCCCGCCCCCTCCGAGGAGCGGGATCGCGCCTGAAACAGGTAACGCCCACCGAGTCCCCCTACTGGCTGCTGCTTCTTAGCTCCGCCCTTCCCACGCCTTCGTCACTCGCGGGACAGAAGCTAGTGCGGCACAGTCGTGACCTGGCGCGAGGCATCTGTATGCAGCTTTCACACAGGGACGGTTAGGGTGGGAGTAGGTCTGGCGGCTCCCTTCTCCGCGCGCTTGGGCTCTGGACGCGGATATGCAAATTAGAGTCGCAGGGGTACGCTGCAGTTGGCTAAAGACCTCTGTGACCTCATAGCTGGGGGGAGGGGCGGCTCGCGACCGGTCGTTACAACCCTCTGGGCTCGTTTTTGGCAGAGTGGGGTGGGGGAAGCAGCGCGCCCAGGTAGGTGCTCGGGACGCGCCGCCTCGGGGGCGTAGGTTCGAATCCCGGAGGCGGGGCGAAGCCCCTGGAGGGCGGGGGCTAGAACCGCGCGACGGAGGGCCTGTCACTTCAGTAGGATAGGGCCGTTTAGGGCTCCAGCTCTCCTGGGGGGCTACCCAGAGCTCTTGCCATCCTGGGGGAGGGGCAGGACAATGGGCACGGCCACGCGGGGCCCCTTCTGTCCTCGGGTGGGGGGAGGGTACGTGGGTCCCTAGCTGGTGGCTCTTGATGGCAGGGCACGATGCTCACTCATGCCAAGCACCCGCCCTTGGGAATCTCCCTATTCTCCCCCTGCCACAAGGGAGCTTGAGGAGGAGCTGCCTCCTTGTCTAATCCTGCTGCTCTGGAGGGGGCGGGGGGGGAAACGGGTTTGGATCCTCAGGTGCCTCCCTCTTTGGGCTCAGGGTCTTCAGGGCCAGGCTGCGTCTGATCCCAGGATGGGGGTTGGTGGTGATTTCACCTCTCGCCCCTCCATTGGGAGCCTGGCCCCAGGAGTTGTGAGAGCCAGGCCATCCACTGGAGTTGCCCTTGCCTAAGGCAGCTGACACACACCACCGGTTGTCTATTGAAAGGTGAAGGTGGAAATTTGCTGCCTAGATACATAGAAGAGTTTCTAAAGACTTAGGGCCAGATCCTTAAAGGTAGTTAGGAGCCTAACTTTGAGGAACTGAGCCTTGGGCACCTAAATACTTTTGAGGATCTCAGCCTTAGATGCGTTCCTGACTTGGCACATTATCTTATTTTTAGTTTTCCCCAAAATAAACCTGCAATGCCAAAGGTTTCTTTTTTAAATTTTATTTCTGTAGAATCATTGCTTTGCCAAGTACAGCTTTTTTTAAATGTAATGAGTTGGCTAAGTGTGTATGTGTCACCACTGTTCTCTATGGAATAGAGCCAAAATTGCCCAAATGTGTGTCCTAGACACCTCCCCCAGCTGCTGGCAGTAAGGCAGATTCTCCTGATTCATGCTTTTGGAGAAGGATGATCTGAGTTCTATTCCCACAGTTGTCAGGAACTTTTTTTTTTTAAACAGACATGATAAAGAAGGGTGGATTTTATTTGTTTTTTCCCTCAGGGAGAGACGTTTGTGTGGAGCAAGGTGATGAAAGGCGAAAGAAGCCATTTTGCTTGGCTTTTTAAGATGTGTTCCTACCCCTAATGCATTTAAAAAGCCAGTTTTTCATGGAAGTAAGCCATACCTCTCAATGATCGCAGCCTCAAAATAAGAGGACATTTATTAAAAAAAAGTGCAAGCGGCTTAACCTAACATTACTCTAATCCACATTTTCCTCGCATCAGAACAGTCATTACTTCTAGTACAGCAGTGCTTCAAGGCCCCACACATCTCCAGGCCCCAAATGTACTAGACACTGTACAAACACATATTAAGAGACAGTCCATGCACCAAAGAGCTTGCAGCCTAAGCTAATCCAGTCCTGCAAAGAGAACTGCGGTCTAAATAAATAAAACAGATAAAGGATGAGAGAAAGGAAGTATTAATCATGTTTTATAGCTGGGAATGGAGACACAGAGAGATTAAATTATTTGCTGAAAGTTGCACAGGACCTCTTTCCCAGAGTTAGGAATTCTCAGATCTCCTGAGTCCCCATTCAGTTCTTTAGCCATAAGATTTTCCTACCTCACTTGATTTTTGTTATGGACAAATGCCAGTATTCATCCATTTTAAGAGAACAAATTCTTAAGTAGCATCTGGCCTCATTTGTGCCACTCAGTCTCTATGATGAAGGAAGGGCAAGCTGAGCTGAAAGTTACTGTGAACCTAACCCTATCTAAACAGTTTTAACATTCTCATTTTATTGCATTTTCTTGGGAGTCTGTTGTGTTCATAACATAACTGCTATCCATAATAATGAACTATGCTTGTGTAGACACAGCCTGTTAGAAGCTCAAAGTACATTTGCTTCTCCAAGTGATTTTTGTCCTCTCTTGAATATGTCAAAGTTTGTTTAGCAGAACAGTCTTAGGAGGATGAGATAAAAGCTCAATCTTGTCTCTTCGTTGGTTCTGTTCACCACCATTCCCCTGGCCAAAAATCATATAAGAACCCTGTGAATCAAATGTGCCCCGTGTGCATGCATAACAAATGCAGATTTACTAGTGCCTCTTCTGTGCACAGTGTCATTACTGATCCTCCCTTTGTTAAACAACTCTAGGTATGATATATATTAGCAACAAAGCACTGCATGTTAAAAAGTTTTGAGCTTAGCTGCTTTTGTTTACTGACTCCTTTTATTAAAATATAGCTGACACATACAAAATGAAGCCAGCAGCTGTGGATTCCAGAATTTTGGCACTGGCCGCTCAGGTCACTGAAAGCTCTGATCAGGATGTTCCTGTGTTGCTGTTGAAGTTAAAAGGTAAATAAAGATTCTTAAGGTATAAGTAGGGAATGCAGAAGTGTGGACAGTCATTTTCATAACCTGTATAACTGAGTCAAATTGTTCCCTCCTTTGAGTATATTCACCAGGGCCTCCATAAGGTCAGTAACATAGAACTGCCGGTAAATCTTCCTAAAGTGACAATTGACTTGGGAACCACAGATGAGGCTGGGGTCTGAACGGAAGGGAACCCTCAGTCCAGTAGAAGATTAGCCCCTATGGACTTTTTCTCTGCCTATCCCCCGCTGCCAGTACAGTTCCTGTAAAAGCCACGCTACTGTGGGCAGGGACACTGTACCTGGTTAAAATCCCTTCTGTGAGGGGTTGCGGGCAGAGTTAGTGGGGTTGAGAATGATTGCCTGGAAGTGACATAAAAAAAGCCGAACATTCATTCATTCATTTATTCGCTCTCTTACACAACCCGACCAGTGCCTCCAGCAAGATTTACCCTGGCAGTGTTCCTTCGGCACATGGTCGGTGGCTAGGGTGTGCGAGCTAGGGCCAGCTCTGAAATTTGACTATTATTAGAATCAAGTTAATAAGGGTTTTCATAATGGATTTTCATCTTGGTTTTATATGGACTAGCAAATTCATACATATGGGCTACCTGCCAGATCGTATGTATGCTCTTGCTGCACTCTTCTAAATCTGTAACTAGCAAGCAGGAATACGATCTTTAATTCGATACAGTATCTGTAACCATACAAGTTAACAAATTATAGTCATTTAAAGTATGTTTTACATTATTGTTACGGGGCTTTTTTTTAACACTGATCTCAGATATTTATACTCGGCCTTTTATGTTTTGAAAAATAACTTTTTTAGTTGCTTTCTTATGGATCAGAAACATATGCACAATTTTTTCTCTTTCTCCCCCCCAGAAATTTTAAATAGTACATCTTTGGGAAGTAAAGAATCACAGAAAATTAAACAGGACCTCTACTATTATAATCTTGTTCAATACTGTGTGTTGGTCCTTAAACAAGATTACTCTCGACTGCCTGGGGGCTGGGCTACTGCTGCCCAGCTATCAGAGATTCTAAGGTAAAATGAAAAGCAGCTGTAATGTTTTATTCTTGTTCTCCTTCACATCTTTCCTCTCACTTTTTTCTTTTCAAGCTGTTCTACACTGACTCACATCCAAAACAAGGCTTGTTGCGCAGAAAATGTCAGGGTGAGAGTGCAGCGAGTGGTGTCAAGGGTAGAGAGGTCGGGCAAAGCCTAACTGATTTGCATTGTGTTTCAACATGCTGGGCGGATTATTCGGTGGGGATAAATAATATGTCGGATTTACCCTTGTTTGTTTGTAAATTGTCCTCAAGTAGATCATGATTTTTACCAATGTACTGCTTATTCAGAATTGTTCACATGCTTCTTGCAAACAAACTTCAGTCTCTTGGCCATTGACAAATTGTTTTTTGTTTCTTTTAGATGTGTTGAAATGCTTTAAAAAAAGTGGACATTATCCATACGCTCTAGGTACCCTGGCCATCATGTAAAAATATACCACAAATGATATCTAAATGCAATATTCTACCTGGTATGAAATCACCATCATTGAGCCAGGCAACTTAAAACTCAAATCACCTTCAAACAATCTCTACCCTCCTCACCCCCAGACTTTTAAATTCTGGGTCAAATGATAAGCTTTGCACATTACCCTGAAGTTTTGGACTAAGTAGGGAGCAAATTCCTAAGCAGTGGGGTCCTTAGAGCACCTTTGTCTCTCTAATACCATCTCTTAGGTGTGAGTTTTTGATATTAGAAATTTGCTAGGCTTCAGGATCAGGCACCAAAGTTACATGATAATGTTTCTGTTTCCGATTGAGTGACCCAAGCTTTATAAACTGATTCTGCTTCCAGACAAAATAAATTAATTTTGTAACAAAACAAGTCTTCTTGTAACTAAATGAATCTCAGTGGTTCACCTGGCATTGACTTTCTGTGCACTGTTCAGATTAACTACATTCATTCGTACAAATATTCATGGAAAGCTAACAAAAAGGGTTGCACACAAGAAGGTGGAGGTGCATTTCAAAGCAAAATTCACA